TATGAATAACCAGAGATTAGACTGGTCATAATTTTTTAATCCATGTTAATTTTGCTGATTTTGACAGCTGTATTGTGATTAGGTAAGTGAATGTCCCTGTTCTAAGGAAATACACACCAAAATATTTAGGAGTAAGGGAGCATAATGTCTGCCATCTGTTTTAAAAAGTTTCAGCCGAACATTTATCCATGTATGTATATGTGTATAAATCCATGTACACACACAGTGAGCATGCTGTACCCATGAGCAAACGTGGCAAGTGTTAATTGATGCCAACTTGGGTGACGTATATACAGGAATTCTTTGCAACTTTTGTGTAATTGTTAAATTATTTCAAAATAAAATTTTTTTAAAAACTCATAAAAAAAGGAGCAAGAGTATGTATGACGCAGGCCTGACAGAGCCAGGTAAGTGGTATTCCAAGGATGGGAGCCGGGAGCCCCTCTCTGGAGACCCCTGCACCCTCCCTCTGCACTAGGTCAGGAAGTTCAGCTGTCTTAGTCGGCTTTCTTTGTTCCCCTGGCCCCTCACTTCCCCTTTCTGGGTCTCAGTGTCTTTATTGGAGAGATGGGGATGAGGATGCCTGTCCTTTTCATTGTGATCTTGGTTTCCCAAAAGTACACTATGCTTTCAAATGTCCCAGGGGAGGGGGCTGGAGACAGCAGATAAACCAGGAACACGATCCATCAGGCTGATAGGAGCCCTTCATATCTTACTTAGTCCAAAAAAACAGATGCAAGGGCTGTGAGGGCTTCCCTTAGATGAGACCTCCAGTTTGCATAACGCAGACACAAGGGGTGGGACCCCTGGCTTCTCAGTTGTCTTGAGACAACATATTGGGATCTTTTCCTGTCCAAAGGGGCAGCCAGCACACTTCTGAGGGAGCCTCATCTCAGGACAGAGATGGTCAGCTGGGCCTGGGGATGCACCTGCCTCCCCTCGTCACCACCACCCGTCTCTCACCTGGATGACAACCACAGCCTCCCAGCTGGTTCCCCTCATCTGCCCTGAACCTGCCTGGAGCTCCACATGGGATCTCCCACAACTTGAATCTGCTGTGCCCACGTCCCTGGGGAAGGTTTGTTTGTGAGCAGGGGAACCATAGGCCCAGGCGGGGTGTCCTGCTGAAGGCACAGGCCGCAGACTGGCACAAAGGGACCAGGGCAGGAAGATCAGGAAAGAGCAGCTGTAGCACCCAGTTGGGACCCTGAAGCCTGGGGAACCCTGTAATAAGCAGACTGGGTCTGGTTACCCTGAGCCCCAGATCTGGCCTCCACCAGGCCAGGCTGACTCTGGCAGCAACATTCTCATCTCTGCATTTCCAACGCAGAGAGGTTCCTCTCCCCCCAGCCCTCCCTCTGTGCCAGGAGAGGACTGGCAGGCACCAGCTGCCTTCATCAGGAACCAGGACAAATCAATCCAGCTAAGCTGCCTCCGCAGTGGAACTGCTGGGACGTGAGGACTCTCCCGGCTCCCAGACCAGCTGCAGGCCCTTTCTCCCGGGAAGGAGGGAGCTCCTGATCCCCGCTCCCTGCTCCTGGGCCTCCATTAACCCTCTAGGAAAACCACAGAGTGGCGGCTCTCCAAAGCTCTGGAGCTGGTGGGAAAGGTCACCTGAGGGTCTCGAGATGGGAAGGCAGGGTGGGAATTCCGTCCCGGTTATCCAGACTTGCACTCACCCAGCACTCAGGCAGCCAGTCCTCTTTTACTCATCATGGCATATAAATATTCATGCGTGAGTGTGTGTGCAGGTTTATGCATTTCCAAGGGCCTGGGTATACACGCTTCCCATTGTATCTGACTGTTAACAATAATAGTTAATTTGAATATATCACTTATACACAAGGGAAGATCTAAGAGCTTTATATCTATCTCACTCAACCCGCAGAACGAGGTAGATTTTCATCATCCCTGCTTTACAGAAGAATGTGATGCACAGGGAGTTACGGAGTATGCCCAAGGTCAACTAGGATTGGGATTTGAACCCAGGTCATCTGAATCTAGGGACTTGGCTCCTTATCATGACCCTAATACTGCCTCCTTAAATAGGTGCTCAACCAATGTTTGAGGAGCTGAGTTACGTGGGTACAGACATAAGGGAAGAGAGGGAGGGAGTGAAAGAAAGCACACCTTTTATCTTGAGATCCACCCCAGTCCCCTCTCTGGCATGCCCATGAGCTCAGTGTTTCCTGGATTGGCCAGTGGGTCGCATGATACTGTGTCTACGTGGGAATGAGCCAGGAAGAGTGAGATTTGACTACCATTGTTCCTCTGCTTATGGAAAGGAGCCTAGAGATGAGGTGACCATCTTTAATCCTTCCCATGGGCTTTGCTTTCTGCGAGCCACCTCGCCCCGACCGGGTCTGGGCTTCCCTAGTCCTTGGGGCTAAGGGCACTTAGGCTTAGATCTGGGAGTGGGCAAGAAGGAACATGGTGCATGGCTCCCACCATTTATTTCTCCAGGATGAGTATGTCCCACAGCCCCAGGCCTCCCCACCTCGAAAGGTCAGGTTCTGTCACTTTGGAAGTTTTGCAACGTTGTCTCCAAGACACATTTCCTAGTATTTCTGCTCAGACAGCATGTGCTGCAAAGCATGTTGAAGCATTTGGGCTTCAGCTTTTGGTTCAGAGTATGCCAATGTTTTCATTTGGAAGGGGAAGTGTTTCTGTTGATGTGGCGAAAAGATAAAATAAGACATTCTGCACCAAGTTACATTGACTGAAAGTCAAGAGCTTAGCTTGGGGGCATTTATCTTGGGATCCCCAAGGCCTGGCACAAGAGCAGGCAGGGCTAAAGTTTGTTGAATGACCCAATGAGTGAATATGCAAAGGGCATGGAACCAGGCATGATTTATGATCAATACTCAGTTCAAGTTCTCAATGGATCCCATAAGTTCTGCTTCTAGAAGGTGCTCTTGGTCTGATTGTGTTTCTCCATCTTCACCAACTTTGCCTCACCCAAGCCTCCATCACCTGAGCAACAGCTCCTAACTGGCTTCCCTATTTCTGCACTTGTCCCTGAGGCCCATCCTGCCCACAACTGCCAGTCATCTTTGTGAAAATGCGGACTGGAATTGTGTCATCCCCTGCCTAAAGCCTCCTGATGGCTTTCCACTGCTCATGGCTGTGGCCTCCCAGGACCTGCATGAGGCCCTGCCCACCCCACTAGCCTCTCTGGGGCTGCTCTCCTGTCATGCTGGCTTCTTTTCAGTTGCTGGAAGAACCAACTCTCTCCCAGCCCATGGCCTGGGCACTAGTGGGTCCCTCTGCCTAGACTGCTCTGCTCCAGATCTTTGTGTGGCTCCTCGCATCAATTCGGGGCTCAGCATAAAAGGGTTATCTCTTCAGAGAGGACTTCTCTGACCCTTCTATGTGAAGCAGCCCATCTATAGTGTTCTGTGTTACTCACTCAACAGGCATTTTTTGAGCACCTGCTAGATGCCAGGCACGTTTCTAAGTGCTGAGGACATAGCAGCGAACACAACAGGGGACTTCTTACATGCCTTTGTAGTTCTCAAAATATCCGTCTTGTTTGGGAACCCACTTTTCGTTCTCACAAGTGCCAGGAGGTCCGGGGCTGAGTCTGTCCTTTTCACTGCGTTCACGCACCAGGCACATTAGGCAATCTGTAAACATTTGTTCAATAAAAGAACAAACTGATGGATGGATCGACAGATGATGTATGGAAGGCAGGTAGGCAGACTAAGTAGGTATGCAGACCAGCTGACGCACACCCTACCTGGCCCTTGGCTCTTCCTAAGGTCTTCCTGAGCTCAAATGAAGCTTTCTTCAAAGAAATCTCACTGTCAGGGGAGCCCCTGCCCCCCAGCACTACTGCCAATAGGTCCTGCCCCATCGTGCACCACTCTCAACTATGGTCATCTTGGCTCAGACAGGCAACAGAGGAGGGGGCAACTTTAGCATGCCTGAGGTGAGTGGCATTAGTGTCTGTTTTCCAAAAGGCCCCCCACCTCAGTATCTCCCCTCCACTGCCACTCAAGACCTGTGCCGGGAGACATGCCAGGCCTGCCCAGCTGAGGGGCTCAGCCAAGGAGTTCCTGTATGCTCTGTGAACCCTCACAGACCCTCCCTCCTCTAGTCCAGCTGCCTCTCTTCATGCTGTGTGACTTTGGCCAAGTCTTCCTCCTTTCTGGATCTTCATTTCCCTCCCACCAACACACAAGGTGGGGCTGTACAAGCTTCCTGGTGGCGGCCCAGAGGCAAGACTTTCACACCTCAGTGCAGTGATCCTGTGGTCCCTTCTGCTGACCCAGGAGCCCCTTGAGGCTTTGCAAACACTGCAGACAAAGCCACCCTGGCACCAACCCCCAGCCTGCCTGGTGTGCGAAAGCAGCCCGTGAAACTGGCAGCCTCTGCAGATTCGAGCTGCGGAACTGATGAGCCGGGGCACCCTGAAACCTGACTCCCAAACAGCAGCAAAGCCAAGGCCAAAGGAAGTGCAGGGTTCTGTGCTGAAGGAGGTTTCTCCTCTCAGCCTCAGCAAGGAGTCCTTGCTCTCAGTCTCCACCCAGCCCCCTAAGAGTCCACAGGGCAAAGATGATCAGTTCCTGGCTTCCTACCTCTTTTAACACAGCAAGTCTTTACCCTTCCAGGACTAGGAAGAGTCCCCAAAAAGCCAAGGTCACCATCAAACCACGCTGAGGATGTGGGGAGGAGTTGACAACTCTGCCTCAAATGGATTTGGGTGCAAAGGCTTTCCCCACAAGCTGTAGCAGTTGGTACCATGGCTAACCCAAAAGCCACTCAGGTCCTGCTTCCCTTCCCTTCTTCAACAGCTGTCACCTTCACTAAGGGGAACGTTTCCTGCCCAAACTAAGGGCCTGAGAAGAGTCCAGCCATTGCTGGCATCCGGAAAGACCTGGAGGAGGTGGATGGAGGAATCAGAAGACTGGGGGAGGGTGTGTGTCCAGTTTGGGATGCCTCCCTCTTCCTTGCCAGGGCCCCAACCCGCCCTCATCCTGCACAGAGAGGGCACTTACAGGCCTCGGAGGCCGGAGAGGGCCTCGTCCTGGGGGTCCCATCCCTGGCCAGACGGTGCCCTCAACCAGCAGCGGTGGCATGATCTGGGCGTTGGTCCGGGCCGAGGGTTGCGGGTCGTTGAGGGAGCGGGAGATGGCAGCCAAGCCTACTCCAAGTAACCATCGAAGACGTCGAGCTCCGAGTCGGCATCGTAGAGGCCCGAGCCGGGGTCGGAGAGCACGCCGAGGTCCACGAGAGCCTGGTCCATGTCCTCGGGCAGGAAGACGAGGCCCACGTTGAGGACGATGTACTCCATGAGGAAGGCGTAGTATAAGATCAGCACATTGACGAAGAACAGGCCCACGTAGAACATAGAGGGCAGCAGCGGCGGCGGCACGGAGGGGACCAGGGGGCCCAGCGAGTCCAGGTGGGCCGCGACTCGGGCACCGGGCATGCAGGGGGCGGCGAGGGCGGCGGCAGCCAGGCGATCCCAGCGAGTTCAGCCGCTGCGGCGCCCGGGCGGCCGGCGAAGGGGCAGCTTAGCCATTCAGGGGCGCCCCGGGGCTGGCCGAGGCGGCGCCGGGCCCCGGCGGTGCGCCCCTGGGGATGTGCGTGGGCCCCTGCGGACGCGCCTCGGCCTCCGAAACGTACCAGGCGGGGTCACCCCACACCCAGAGGTGCCCACACAGCCCTATGGATCCGCCCAGCCGTCAGGCAGGCCCCCTTGCAGTGGCCGGCGGCTGCCCGGCTCCTCCGATACGCCGCGCTCGCGCTCACCGGCGCTCGCAGCTCTTGGAGGGACCCCACCGCAGCTCAGCGTTAAGGGCCAGTCCCCGCGACGGTCTCTTCAGCCCCGCCCGGCCGTTTCTCGAGCCCCCTCCGCGCCCCCGGAGGCGCAGCGCCCATGGCTGCTGCCGCCGCGTCGCCCTCCTGGTAGCGTTCCGAGCGCCGCCTCCGAAACAGCCCCGCGCTCATTGGTCCACCACCTCTTGCCCGCGCTCATTGGCTCGCCCAAAGCCCGGGCTCATTGGCCCGAGCCGTCCGGGGGCGGGTACCGTCTCGCTCCGCCCCTCGGGCCGCTGGCGTCTGAGTTGCTTCCTTGGTTCCGGACTCGGCGCAGATCCCGAATCCAATTCGGTCTGCAAATCCCCGACGGGGTAGGGGGAGGGGAAAGAATCAGAACACAATTCAAACCTAATATTGGCGCCATGCCTTTTTGGGACTCAGTTTACCTGTTAAAAGGAGGCAGGGTAGGAGGGCGGTAGGCTTTACCAGTGAAAATTTTGGACTTTCCTACAACAGCAATTTTCCACGCTGGAGAAGATCAATCAGTGCTGCCTTCATCTATCCAAATTCTGCCTGCTGGAAGGTCTGCTCCCAGCAGGTCAGACCTTCAGCAGTAGGGTTGCTTCTTGTTTTGTTTTTACTTTGTAAACCATGTTTTAAAACAATAATAATACACGTGGTTAAACAGTCAAACAACTAAGAAGTACACAGAAGTGAGTCTCTTCCACTCGCTGACTCACCCTCTTCAAGAGACTGATCTTGCCCAAAGCGCCTTCTAGAGCGGTTCAACAGACCTTTAAATCTCAGGCCACACTGGACTGTATTGCTTAATTGGAGCCAGGTGGAGCAGTGTAGTATGTTACCCTTTTTTAACAGATGAGGAAACTGAGGCCCAAAAGAACAGAAGGACAGTGGAAGCTGCTGGGCCTGTGTGTGTTTGGAAGCCAGAACCTGCCTTTTTTCCTCCATGATTGTCTCTTGCCCTTTTAGATGAATTGCAGAGCAAACCATTAACCCTCCAATTGCTGAAGGTGAAATAAACCTTCATTCATTCAGCCAGTCACTCTGCCAATATTTGTTGAACACCTATTATGTGCCAAACCTTGTGTTAGGAATTGGCGAAAACATTGGCCCTTAGCCCAATTCTGTCCTGAGCACAGTTAATGGGACTCAGTAGACCTCTCATAACCACGAGGTGTAGAAATTAATGAATGAATGGTGAACAGGACAGTATCACCTCCACTGAGTTTTCGACTCCTAATCCAGGAGAGAAATTCAGATACATCTTCTTGGCCGGTGTTGGAAGCTGGGTGTTGCCTTATTTTTTATAATGTGGTTGTTTTAAAAATGGAATGGATTTTGGGTGAAGACCAGAGAAATCCTCTAAAAGTACAAGACGTTCAGTTTTGGTATATCGTGGCTTGAAGGTCTTTCAATATTTATTTTTTAACTGAGGTAGAAAAGGAAAAATGCTGTGAGGACAAACCAGCCCGTTACCGATTTGGTGCAGGTTTTTATTGGGGGAATGAAAATAAGGGTGCCTAGGTTTGAACCCTGGCTCTGCCACTTACTAACCGGATGACCTTGGGCAAGTCAACCCCTCTATGATTCACTTTTCTCCTGGGTATAATGGGAATAATAATAGTACTCACCCCATAAGGTTGTGAGAAGTAAACATTATATGTAAAGCACTTAGGGCAGTGGCATTTAGCAAGTGCCAAACAATGGCTATTCTTATTCTCATCATAAGCTAATAATTGTTAGCACTGTGGTAATTTACTCGCCCATCTTCGCCAATTCAGTCCTCAGGGCTCCGCCCATAGGTTTCTCATTCCCGCCCACCCCGACGAAACTGCGGACTCTCCTCCTCTCGCTCCGCCTCATCTCCAAGGCCGCAGGCCCGCGGTTGTGTGATGCACGCCGGGCCTTGTGGTTCGTTTGCAGAGTCCTGTCAGCAGGGGCCTCGCGGGCGAACTACATTTCCCAGCGTTCCTCGTGGCGGCGGCCGTAAAGCGCGGCGGTCGAACGGCCGGTTCCGGCTGAATGTCAGTGCAGGGCTGTGGGCCGGGGAGGAAGGTGGTTGGCGGTCTCTTCACCACCTCTGCTGCTGCCTCCTCTGCTTGTCCCGCCGCGGCGCCTGGCCGCTGGGCCCCTGGGGCATGAGACCGTGAGGCGAGCGACGGGCCGGGACCGCCGACATGTTTGGCCGCTCGCGGAGCTGGGTGGGCGGGGGCCATGGCAAGTCTTCCCGCAATATCCACTCCTTGGACCACCTCAAGTGAGTGTACTGGGGGCAAAGCGGGGAGGCCGCGGGGCTGGACATGGGGATGGGGGCGCATAGCGCCGGGCCGAAGGCGCTGGGAAGTGTGAAAGCGGAGGCGGAGGGCTGGGAGAGCGCCCGGGAAAGGCTGTATGGTGGTTAAGAGCTAGGGTTCTGGACTTAGGGCGCCCGTGTTCAAACCCTGACCCCGTTGCTCCTCGCTGTGTGACCTTGGGCAAGTCTCTCCACTTCTTAGAGGCTCAGTATCCCCATCTGTAAAGTAAGGAGATGAGATTTCAGTTTACGGATGTAGATTTCGTTCTTGCTGTTGCCACACGGTAGGCACCAAGCTTTCCCGGGGTGTTACTTCTCAGGCTGGACAACCTAGGGGTCAGAAGTCTGGATCCTGGAGTCAGACAGATGTGAGTTCAAATCTAAGTATGTGAATTTAGGCCTCAGGTTCCTCAATTGTAAAATGGACATAGTGACATTACCTGCTTCCTACGTTTGTTCTGAAGACGGGATAAGAGAATGAACATAAAGCTGGAAGCTTGTACAAGTGCTTAATAAAGGAAAATAATTTTTTAAAAACCTAGTTTCTTGCCGGAGTCTAAAGAGAGACTGTCAGAAGTAGAGCTATGGGGGAGGATAGGTGGCAAAGGTGGTCCTGAGAAGCAGAAGTACACAGGATGGCTTTGCAGTCAGACCTGCATTCAAATCCTGTGTGACCTTGGACAAATTGCTTCACCTCTCTGAGCCTCTGGTTTCCTATCTGCAGATGGGCATGGTGAACATTGTGCAAGGATTCAGTAATGTTATGCCGGGAAAGAAATTGATCCCACTGTCTGTTACACAGTAGGTAGCCAATAATGGTAGCTGTGTTTATCAGCTGGCTAAGGCTTCCCAGACCACCCCACCTAAATAAAGTGCTTCGCCTACCACAGTTCCTTTCCATTAGATCTTTCTCTTAATTTCATTCATTAGTTTCATTTCCACTATCTGCAGTTATCCTGTTTGTTTTGGCTACTTTTCTGCCTGTTCCTAAACTAGTACTTCCAGGAGGGCAGAGATGGCTTGTTTTGCTCACTGCTATAGTCCCAGCATCTAGCAGTGTGCCTGGCAGATAGGAGGAGCTCAGTGGCTACTTAAAGAATGGAAAAAAGTGATTGAACTGGGGAGAGGTGCAGAATATGCAGGCAGAGCCTAGGATTTTGGGGGGGTGGCGGCGGGGGGAGTGATGGAAAATTGAGACCTTTGAGTAGGGAATGACTTCAGGGAGGAAAATATAGTGTTGGGGGAAGGAGGGAGTTGGGTGCTGGGGTAGGCAAACCTTTGGTGGTAAGAAATTGGCTGGTTTCCAGAAGTATCTCCCAAGATTACTAAAGGGAAAGAAGGATGATGGTGTGGGGGGTAGGCAGGGAACAGTAGGAGGAAGACAGGGTCCCCTGGGAAGGATGGGTAGGAGGGAAGTGAGATGGGGCTTCTCATTTGGCCAGGGGTAGGGGTGCTGTAATTCTCAGCTGTGTCCTTTCTAGCGTGGTGCAGGCATTTAATAAATGTTAGTGGGTCTCAAAGAGTAGGGGGCAGGAGGGATCACTGTCACGTGAGGAAGGGTTTTAGGGGTGGTGATGAGAGAGGACATGGGGAGGAGAGAGGCCTAGGACAAGGATGGGGGTGTGTAGGGAAGCAAAAATCTTAAATGGGAGGGCAGCTGGACGGGAAAGGGAGAGGCTGAAGGATTTCAGGAATTTAGAGAGTGGGTGGATGAGGCTGAGAAGGGGAGGATGGTTATCTAAAGGAAGTTGGGCCTCCTGCCAGCATCCAGTTACCTGTAGGCTCTCACCTAACTCTGCCTGACTCTAGCTCTTTTCAATTACTTTAGTAATTATCGAATGCATTTTCGGCACCCGGTGCTTGTCAAGGACTTCCTGTGTGTTACTTCCTTTAGTCCTCACAGGTCTGTGCATTATGGGAACTAATATTGTTTGCATTTTATAGAGTGGAAACTAAGGTCCAAAGAGGTTAAGTCACTTGCCCAAGGTGACAACAGCTGAAAAGTGTCAAAGCCAGAATTTGACTTCAGTGCTTGCACTTATTACACTATCTTTTTGAATAAAATGTCTCTAGAAGTCAATCCCACTGCCCAATGGGGCATCTTCACCATCTAGCCAGCCAGGAAATGGTAAAGGTTCTCCTGTTCCTCTGAAGTATCCTGGGAACTGCCCGGGTTCATTGTTTCCCGGGAGCTTTTTGGAAACCCGAGCTGCCTGCCCTGGATCAGGCAGATCCACTTAATCCATATTATGACCTAAAGGACCTGGCAATTTGTGTATCCGTGTGGGGCTTAGCCGATCCCACAGTGACATGGGAAGGAGTGCCGTAAACAGCTAGTGCCCACCCCAGCAGTTGGTTCTGATGGTAGACATCTTGGACCTTGGGTACAGAAGAGCCCATTCCCTGAGGGAGCTCACAGGCTGGTGGGGGAGAGCCAGGGACTGTGTGGTGTGACCCGTGCTGGGATCGCCATAGGTTCCGGGCTCTGTGGGAACCTTTCTGGGAAGCTCTCTGGGGGAGGCAACAGCAGAGTGGAGTTGTCAAAGATGAGCTCCTAGGAGCTACCATGTGGAGCAGTGGGATGTGGGAGGGGGACCCTGGGTTTTGTGGAGTGTCCAGTTGGGGCTGGTAGTTGTGCGAAACAAGGAAAGAGGTAGAACAGGGCCTGAGCTTCATCCGACACTCAGGGTGGCCAACCGTCCTGGGATGCCTGGAACTGAGGGGTTTCCCGCGATATGAGACTTTCAGTCCTGAAACTGGGAAAGTCTGGACAACTGGTACAAATCGGTCACCCTACCAGTGACAGGTGACAGTTCCTAATACACTCTTGCCCTGGCTAGGGCAATGTGGGTAGAGAGGAGA